GCCTTGGTGGCGCTAGCATTGTTGGGCCGGGGGACGGCCCCGCCGCGGGGTCCAAGGAGGGCGTGGGGCCCTCGGGGACGGTGGCGGAGCCTCCCTCGCTTGGCGGGGGTGCCTCTGGTCACCATGTGCTACGTGTCGACTTCTCTGAGGTTTCGGGGGTCCGCCGTGCCTGACGTTTGCTGGCCTCCAAAGCCACCCGGATTTCCGCCCTGGCCGGGCTTCAGCCCAGGCTCATGGACTCACACCCGCTAGGGTCTTAGAATTAATTGCACAGGGGGCGGCTCTGTCGTAAGACGTTCATCCGGAATGCACCAGAAGAATCGGAGCGTTCGTGATGTTTAAGTGCTTAATCGCTTCCTCCTGCATGCAAAAATGATAGAGTGATGTCAAGCGCCTACCAAGCCTGACTCCAGCATTTTTTAAAAGTTGATTTAACCGCTCATTGGTAATTAAGCTGCTGCTTTGACTGGAGCCATTTTTAGATGTGTCTCACAGATGCACTGCAGTCTTTTCTAGCTCATCCCCAACGCATTTATCTCGTACAAAATTAGGAATAGACTGAATATGGGTTTTGTCCTTAGCATATAGTTAAAGCAGTTCATTCTCTTTTCTTTCTGCAATGGCTTTTGAAGCGGGTTTTTTTGGGGGTGGGGGAGGTCTGCTTAGCTTGTGTGTGTCTGTTCCCCCTCGACCATTATGTACTGAGCACAGTAATAAACCTTTTTCATACATTACCTTTTTGTCACTCCTACAGTCAGCCATTGAAAGAGGTGCTATCACTATCATCATTCCCCTTTTACAGATGAGAAAACGAAATGTGAGGTTAAAGCGGATTGACCGAGGTCACACAGCAGTTATTGGTGCTGTGTTCCACGGTCCAGACCCAAAGGGGATGCTCTAAGCCCTCAAACTACCTTGTAATTTATAAACTATAGCAACTGAGATACAGCATTATTAACCAGTAGTTTTCTTTAGTTGGATTTCGGTATATGAACGTTGTTGCATGTGAAGGTTAAATAAAGTGTTGCAAGGTGTAAAAATGGATTCTGTCTACTTTGGTGGTGGAGTGGAAGCTAATTTTTTGGTGTCCTTTTCTATTTAGAGGCCAGGTGAGTGCTTAGAGGTAACTTAAAACTAACCCTACACTGTCACCCATATAACTTTTATATTTTACAAATGAGGATGTTCCCTTATCTGTAAAATGAGGATGGTGATGATAATAGGCCCTCTATCAAAGGCTTGTTATAGAATTTTAAAAGGTAACAGGTAACATATATAAAGGGTTTATTACTGTGTTCTATACGTGGTAAAAGGTAAGCTAATAATGGAGGGAGAATGGAGTACTGGTAGAAGAAAATACTCTCAAGCGATAAATAATCTGTATATCTCAGAATGGTGTATATATTTGAGTACTTAAATTGTTCGCTCTTGCATGCTCTCTACATACTGAATTTTGCTTCTTAGAGATTTCTTCTTCCTGCTGTACAATAAATATCCCCAGAATGTGTATCTGGCTCATAACTGAAAATACAGAAGTTCTGGCTTATCCAGCTTCCTGTCTCCTCCTGCCCCCACCGTCCTTACCAGCAAAATGTCTTTGAAGATTGTGTCCCCCTCTCCAAGTGCTTCCCAGCATTGCTAATTTGTCAGTTAGGTAACTTGTGTTGTGGGTGTGATTTATGTCATTTGTGAGAGATGAGGATTATTGATAAAAGGTTATATAAATTGGTACAAAACTATATCTTTACGGTGAAGGAGATCCAAAAGTTGTGTCTGAGTTGTGACTCACAGACTTTCATTTCAGTAGAGCTTGACTTGTCACCTTATGAATGAGGCAGCACAATGAAAGTCTTTCTCAGTCTATGTTAATTGTTTCTTAGAAGTCAGAAAGTTAATATGTTGGTTTTCTGAGTCATATTATTTATTTTATTTTATTTGGATCAGGGTCTCACTCTCTTCCAGGTTGGAGTACAGTGGCACGATCATGACTCGCTGTGTCCTCAAACTCCTGGGCTCAAGCAATCCTCCTGCCTTGGCTTCTCGAAGTGCTGGGATTTACAGGCATGAGCTACCATGCCCAGCAAGCAATGGTGTTATTGAGGAATATAAAATTATGTGACTTCTGGATGCTGTGGCTCACTCCTGTAATTCTAGCACTTCAGGAGGCCAAGTCAGGAGGACTGTGTGCGTCCAGGAGTTTGAGGATGTTTACCATGATTATGCTGTATTCCAGTCTGGGCAATAGTGAGACCCAACTCAAAATAATAATTATAATAATGCCATTGCTTCATCAGCCAGAACATCTTTGTAGGTAGATGTATTTTATAGAGAGGCCACCATTAGTAAATTTTCTGTTGTATGTTTTTCCCCTAGAATAGCTAAACAAAATCTATCTATATATTTTTTTTTTTGAGTTTGGGATCTTTCTCTGTCACCCAGGCTGGAGTGCAGTGGCATGATCACAGCTCACCACAGCCTCAAACTTCTGGGCTTAAGCGATCCTTCTATCTCAGCCTCCCAAGTAGTAGTACAGTTGCACACTACCACACCCAGCTTTTTTTTTTTTTATTTTTAAGAGATGAGGTCTTGCTATGTTGCCTGAGCTCGAGCAATTCTTTTTTTTTTTTCTTTTGGCATTCCTCCCAAAGAATGCCAGTCATGATTTGAGGCTTTCATCTGCATATATTTGCCAGCAAATCCAATCAAACAAGGGCTCTTACTTAGTTTCAACAGGAAACTTTTATCTGGTTGATAGACATGATTGGCATCTACCTGAGAGTCTGAACACAAGATTGCAATGAAGATAATTACTGTCAGTGGGGTATACTAACCCTTGTATGGTGCTGCTTGGTGCTCAAATTAGAGGATGAGATAGAAACAGCTTTTTTTAAGCACTGGATAATATGTATGTGGAATACTACATGGTAATAGATAGTACATACTATCTAGTAATTTTTTTATTTACTTGTCTGTGTTCTTTTGTTTTGTTTTGAGTCAGAGTTTCACTCCGTTGCCCAAACCAGAGTGCAGTGGCACGCTCACTGCCACCCCAGCGACAACCTGCTGGGCTCAGTCGATCCTTCTGCCTCAGCCTTCCAAGTAGCCGGAACTACAGGCATGCAACTACCACACCTGGCTAATTTTTTGATTTTATTGTAGAGATGAGGTCTTGCCAAGTTGCCCAGGCTGTTCTTGAACCCATGGGCTCAGGCAATCTTCTCACCTCAGCCTCCCAAAGAGCTGGTATTACAAGCTTGAGCCACTGCGCCTGGCCTCTAACATGTTTTTAAAATAAGCAATTTTAATATTCTTTTGTGGACCACTTAAAGTCATCTAATATACCACGAATTTTTTACTCTACCCTTTAGGACATGACTGTTATAAGAAATGAATGCTGGGTAGAATCAGGCAACAGTTGCAGTGAATCAAATCCAGGAGTGATGAAAACCCAGAATGGGGTAGATTCTTCATCAGACAGCAAATGGCAGCATGACAGGAATAGCGACATAGATTAGAGTCTTAACTATATACTTGGGACAGCCATTTTCCTGAGGAACTGCAAAGGAGTATGTTTATTTAGATAGGTAAATGTAATAGAATGTCTGGGACAATCTATGGCAAGGGAAGAACAAGAAAATATAAGGGAAGAGGGAAGTTGCTACAGAATCAGGGCATAGGAGTATATTCTGAAAATAGGATTATTAATGTTCAGTGTAGTAGAGGTCACAAAAATATGTGAGAAGTAGTTTTTAGATTAGGCTGAGCGATCCTTGGTGACCCTAAAAGAATTTAGGTCAAGTTAATGAGGGTGGAAGGTTAAAGAGAGGGTGGGGAGACCTTGATTTTTAGGTATGTTGAATACTCAAAATGAACTCTAGACTAGAAATTTTAAAACTTAGATTTAGTTCTCTTTTTTTCATTTTTGTGCCAGCTGTTAACTTTGGGGCAAGTCACTTGGCTTCAAGTTTTAGATATATTCAATTGTGAAACAAGGATAATACTTGTTTCCGCTGTCTCAGAGGACCATTGTGAATATTACTTCATATGTGTTCTCAGTATTCCTTCTGAATTTAATATTCTCTGATATCACATGCTATCAAGACATGAATCTTGACCATATTTAAAGCAGAAAAGAGAACCATGAAAAGGGGGAAATTAACAGTAAAGGGAGGATAGGCTCCTTATAAGGCTGGAAGATACCTTCCAAATCTTTCGTGAGTAAAATGAGATGGATGCGTAGATATGGTTGGACAGTAGGTATCCAGAAAAGTAATAGTTGATTTTTCTTCCCTCAGTTTGTATACTGCACAAAGATGCTGGACTGAGGAGGTGACAGTCCAGCATCTAAAGTTCCACCTGTCCTCCGTTTGCAGAGTTCTGTGCCCGAACTTAGGCCTCCCAGAGGAAGCTGTTCCTCCACTTGTCCTCTCCTCCACTGCAGTACATGTATCTTCCCAGAAAGGGTGTATTTTTCTAGTTAAACAAAGGCCCTATGGAGGTCAGTGAATGCTTTGAAAAGCTCTTTAAGGAGATATTAGGGATAT